CAACTGCTGATCCAGCGCCTGAAGCGCCAAGACACTGCAGAAACAGATGACTCCGAGGCCCTGCACCCAAGAGCATAAGGTACATGCCAGCACGTTACAGCACTGCGGTTCCACAGCTTCGAGCTTGCGATGGACCAGCCAGGATGAAAGCCAAGACTTGACTAAGTCTGTTATGTGTGATGCTTCTGTTCTAAGGCGTTCACTTCGAGGGGTGTAGGTGGGCAGCCCTGTGGCAGGGCTTGCTCGGCCGCTCCTGGGGCAGCACATGGTCTCCGCCGGCGAAGCCGCCCAGGTTGAAGGCCTCCAGCTGCTCAGGTCTTGTGGTTTGTGTTTTGCCACAGTGAAAAAAGTGCTACAGCAATACAACAGTTTTCCGCGAACTGTGTGTAGCACCTCTTCTGTTAAAGGCAATAACTTGTCCGTTGCGCTTTTGCTTTTCGTGAAAGCACGACCAATGCAAACTGTCTCACAGAAGCTAATTACCATAAATCAGAAAGCAATGCCCTTTTTCAAGCATCCGAAAAGCGGTACACCAAAGACAGCGACGAACAAGCAATGTGACAACACCAGAAACACAAGTTCAAAAAAGACAGATCAACATAGCCAAAAACAAGTTTCCGAAAGTGTTGGCATTGCAGAACATGTTATGTGTTGCTTCTTTTGCTTTTTGGTCGTGGGGTTTTGTGGTTTCGTGTTTTTCGTGTTATTGCTTTTGTTTTGTGGTCTTTGTAAGTCTGGTTTTTGTAGTTTTGGTTACGTTGCTTTGGGCTGGCTTTCTGCCATGCACACGGAGAATCCGAACGAGGTCCGTCCCACTAGCTAATCAATGCTGCATTTGGCTTTTCGAGCAAGTTATGTGCTTCCGGCAATAGGGACTATTTCATCTGGCTGCAGTATAAACATGTGTCCAAGTGGTGCCACCCTGTGAGGTTACTATTCGAAGCCTGGTTCACACTGTACTGTAGCTTAACCAAATTGGCCAAAAATGGTGTCAGTGAATCTGATAACAGATAAACCTCTAATATTCAAGTACAGGTGAAAGCACGAACGACGAAACAGTAAAAAATAGTTCGCCTATGAGTACCCCGATTACGAATTGACTAGGCCTGAGAATTATTGGTCTTCTGAAGTCTGTCCCGGCCGAAGAAAGCTGGCGAGTATATACAGCGTGTATGTAAGTGTAAGACTTTGTGCGCAACTTCTTACAAAATCACGCAGCGGACAACTTGTAGCTTTAAGCCGAAATTTGTTTTCGGCAGCTCAAGACCTGAGGGCTCACAAGATGTACGGTCTGCTAGCATCCAGAGAGAGCAGGAAAACTCGTGCTCGTGAGGTGCGTGGGCGCAGCCCCGGCCACAGCCCCTCGCGTGAGCGCCTGCGTCCGGCACAGGCACAATGTACAGTTCTATATTCTATATATAACATGGAGAAGCACAGCAACCAGCCAGGTTTTTGTTCATCAAACCTTGACCCCTAAGACCTAAGACAAGTTTATACACATACTCACATACTGTGGCCTTTTGAGACAGCGTAGCTCATCACGGGAAATCACTATCCCAAACCTCTCCTTTTTGACTTAGCATTTTAGGAAGGGCTGGCCGTTCGCGGTCTAGGGGGTTCTGTAATGCAACATGTTAGATCTCTTGCCATGATCTGCGGCAGGTCACTCCTGTGCCGGTTGCCCCGGGCCTGGTGGAAGTTTCCCAAAGGCCGCATAACCAGTGCACAGTCGATGATGCAAATCTACGCTTTCGATGAGTGCTGAAATTTGGAATGCGCCTTGCGGGGACTATACCATGTACAAAGTCGCAACTAAGCAGCGCAATTGGAAGGTCCGTCCTGTATGCCGGGCACCCATGTCTTGCAGTGCACACTCTGCTAGCCACGATCAGCATCAGAGTAGCCTTGTTGCTGATTGCATTAACCAAGGCGGCCATGACCGCTTTCCCACAGATGCAGAAGGCACCTGAGCATTCAGAAGCTGTGCTGCTTTGCTGAGAATCGTGGCTTCTCGAGGCCACTGCAGTCGTCCGGACAAGGAAAGGTCCGGCAGCTTCGGTCACTGGTTTCAAAAGTAGACTTCGGAGATCTTCGGAGCCAGCAGCGTGCAGTCAAATACGAGCACCAGCCAGATGCTCGAAGGGAAGCCTGAGAAATTAGCCGCAACAAGACATGGGATGATTCAGCCTCCATCGGCTAGGAAATGAGGCAGCAGCGGCGAATGCGCACATTGGTAAATGACCAAACCGTGCCGAGGTCATCTCGTCGCTCCTTTTTTATGTTTTTCCCAGTGATTCAGTGATTGGTGCTTGTGCTGCTGCTAGATCTGCAGGGAACCAGGCACCTGAATGCAAGTGATAGCTGCTGACAGCTCACGTGAACCACGTGCACGCAAGCACAAATCGCCACAGGAGCGGGGTGGAGACGACATGAGACAACCATAGAAGTAACATGTAGTGTATGTTTGCCGATATTCAGAGATGCGACTTACTCGTCAGTAGAATTGTCCATGTCTCCCTGCACTTGTTCTCGCCCTTGGGCACTGAAACGCAAACGACTGCACAGTCACTGTCGCGCCATGTCTGATGAATGCGGCACGGGTATGCGAATGCCAACCGTTCAAACTTCCCAGGACCTCTACAATACCCGATGCCCCGGTCCCTACTGCACACTGGAGGGCTTGAGGTCGACATCGCTACAAAAGGAGAGTCGAAACTATGACGAATTGTTCTGTGACCTGCCCCCCGCACAGGATGGTTTCTCTTTCGTAGCTGAGGTGAAGGAAGTTTCAGCTGATGGCCTCTCAACTGAATTTTTGGCCGAAACTCCCTTGAAGAAACTACAGCCGTTTGTACCCGAAGCAGAGGCGCCGTCCTGCCAAGCTTGTTCCTGCCAAGACCACTAAGCTGCAGCCCCAGAAGTGCCCCAGACATGAATGTCGAGGCAATCTTCTTGTCAGTCTCAGTACCCTTTTGCCTAGGCCCTAATGCTCGGCGTCAAGGTGGCGGCTGAGTATGCTGAGAAAACTTAGTGAGACAACGGAAGTCGACCTGTCACTATTTCAACTTCTTGTCCGAAAAAAGTATTTTCGTTTGCTAGATCTATCGGTCAAGGATCTAAATACCCCAGTGGGTCCAACATTTGGAATATGGATTAGCAGTGCCCGGAGCTATCTTTCTTCAACCTGCATGTGTTTCTGCATGTGTCCGCTCTTGGACCTGCTTGGGGCGCACCAGCATTCTCAAAGGAATCTTGTGGTGCCTGCAGAGTGTACAGTCTACAAGCGGGGAGGTTGCATGTCTAAGACATGCCACCTTGTTTCTGCACATGATGCAGAAACTAATTAATTTGATGGCTTCAGGAGAGGCTTATATTGCTGCATGCCGGTCGCAGCCGGCAACAGATGGATGCAAGACTTCGCTCTGTTCCACGATGCTGCGCACGTGAGACGATTCCCGTAGCTGTGCCGCCGTTGCATGCATGCCTCAGGCAGTGACGGTCATAGTTGCCGTGTAAGTCAACGCAGAAACCTCGCTTCTCCAAGATCTACCGAGTTTGTGTGTAGACAGCAAGAAATTCCCTCATGACTTCATGTACGGATATATATATATATATATATACTATATATATATACACTATAGACTAGATATGGATGCCATTGAAGATAATTTTGGGGAATACAAACCAGGTACACACTCCCGATGCTGGCAGTGAACTCACCACGGCAAACCAGATTTACAAAAGTGCTAGTCGGAACGACATATTTCTTGTATGTGGCATCGTGAGGCATATTGCCAACTCGAAGTTCTCTTTTGCCGAAGCAATTGCAGAGCTGGTATTGGTGCTTTATCCCGCGGCTTCTGTCCAGTTCGGAGATTGCTTCTCAGGTTGGAGCTAGAAGCTGCTGTCCTACTCAACAGGGACAGGATGTACATATATTTCGGAGAGAATTCTCAGTAGACTCTCTCCAACGTTTTGAGAACATGCGGCCTTTCGGCCAAGCCTCACTTGGTGAGTTGCAAAAGCTTTTGACAGATGCAGAGAGGCACGCTTGAACTGCTGCTCTTGTTTGGGAGTTTGCCACATCTCAGCGATGCCCGAGCCTGTCAAAATTCACGAATTTCCATGCCGACAGTGCGGAAAATGCGGCCGTGGTTTCGACATGATTGTGATGTGGCTGTTCCAGAACGGGATGGCGATTGAACAGGAAGTCCTTGTGTTTACTCGTATAGCCGGGCCAAACGTCTTGATAGCAAGTCTTGCTTGGTCCTTCAGCCAAGGTGGGTCGCTTTTCGTTCCAGCTTGAGCCGGGAAGCGATTCACAGCAATGGCTGCGGGAAGGCGCAGCATCTTGCCGTTACCCCGTGTCTGTACGATGCTGAGTAGATGCGTAGGTTTTGGGGTCTCAGAGGCCAATCGTTGGACTTGTTCTTCTTGCCGCTGGCCGCCTGGGACTTCCGTGTGCGACCCCTGACTTCCCGGCTTTCGGCTTTCCGAGCCTGTCCTCGTGGTGCCTCCGCAGGTCTCAGCCGGATCCGCCACGGCCAGCTGCCGGGAATCTGTGGTCGCGGAAATCGCTGCATTCCCTTCCCTGCAGATGGGCCCCGACCGAGGCTTGTGCGTCACTGCGATTGGACGTTGCAAACAGTTGTCGCCTTGGAGTTCTTTGTATGTTTTTCTTTTGGGAGAAGTGAGGAAAGGTACTTGTACCAGGCCTGCTCAGCTGCCATCGTATTATAGGCTGCGTGGAGCGAGGCGGGGAGACCGCGGAGGCACCGTCCTGCTTCGCCAACTCCGCCCTTGACTTGGCTCAATTCGAACACGCGCATGATCTGGTCTGCAGAAGCTGCACGCTGAGGTTGGTGGTGCAGCCCTGGACTTCCAAGAGAACATGCTAACGCTTGTCCTGGGATCAGGTACAGCAGGAAGCCGAGGAGATAGTAGAACGGGTTGCGCTTTTCGAGAAGAGACGATCGCATCTGGTGAGGTCATCAGCCCGTATGCGCCCGGGCTGGTGGAAGTCACATTGCCACTCCCGCACAGCTCCTAGGATCTGCTCTGGGCAGAACACGAGAACTGCGCAGATTCGCAGATGTAAACGACGGGCAATCCGTCAATGATGATCACTGATGCAGATCGGACCCTTGTATAGGTCTGGCGGAATCTTCGGAACCCAAATTCTGGCAGCCTGCAGGCTCGGAGGGTGAAGGTGATTGGCTGAAGTCTTCTTGGCGCCGCATTGCGTAGCCCACATGCATTTCTCAGCTGCTGGGTTCACATCGTCAGGTACCAAGTCCCTGCGGGCCAGGCAGCTTGGCACACGGCATCGCAGCCCTTGCAGTGGGCAGAGGTCTGAGCTTTCCAGACAAAGCAGAAGAGCAAGTTTGAGCAGGCTGGGCTGTTGCGCAGCTGCCTGAGGCGCCAAAAGTGGCCAGCGCGGGTTTCGTGGGACTTCCACAGGTGGACTCGTGGCGAAATTCCATATACTGCCAGTGAAGAGGGCCTGAGCAAAGAGCGATTTGCGAGTCCGCTTTCATAGCGCCAGACACCGAGAACCCAAGGAACCTGGTGGCAACATTACTGCAGACATTGCTGTCATCTCAGGCCACAGAGTTTCAGTTAAGTTGCAGGTGCAGCTCGGAGTCGCGATTGTATCATCATCTTAGCAAGCCAAGCAAGCTGAAAATGCTGTTTCCTCGTGGGATTGGATCGTTTCGGTTGGCGAGTTTCTTCATGCAGTCACTTCTGTGTCGCTTGTCTACTCGCTCTTGCTACTCCATGTGGTCTCTCCTGAAAGCCCATCTTTGCGACAGATTACTATGCTGGTACCTCCTTCCATTAAGTACCCATGACCGCGACGGTCAGGGCTCACCTTGTCGGGCTATGCCGGGGCGGCCCTGCATCTGCATCCCCCAGCTTACTTCCGCAACTTGTCTGCAGAGCACTTCTTCCAGGGCGGCTGCCCTATCCTTTGCCTGCGTCTGCGGCCCAAGCCCAGGGTGTGCAAGCAAACTCTCACTGGCACCGATTGTACATGGCAGTGCCTGCAGAGATTTTCACATATGGCTGGAATCGCCTTTCTGTCATGCCAAGGATCCTTTTAATACATGGTGTGATGCTCACAGCACGGCAGGCTGTAGTATGCCTGTGTCCTGCTGCTACTGCAAGTAAGGTATCATCGCTCTCGAAGATCCAGGTTCTAGTGCCGGGCACCAAGAATTGCAAAAGCTAGTTTGCTTAAGCGAACATCGCTCTGACCAGCATTTCCCGATATTGCACGGATGTCGGTTCCTCGCGACCGGCCGAACCTTTGAGACTCCTGGACTTGCCGCCTTCTGCGACCCGAGACGTAGACAGCGCCACGCCAGCCACATCAGCAACGGCAAGTCTAGGCATGCGTCGAGCACTTGAGGCTGATGAGCCTTGGGCGAGAGTCGTTGCATCCATGCCAGGGACCTTGCATGTTGTGCTTTGGGTGCCTTCGTGCGTCTGCAGCCTCCATCGCAGCGAGCGCAGGGCAGCAACAGATCCTGGGGAGGCCTGGTGTGGAGTTTGTGTTTGCCGTCTTACACTGGCCCCTCTGCCCAGACGACGGGCTGCGGCTCAGTAGAAAGAAGCGATGCTGCTCCCACTCTTCATCAGGCAGTTGTCGTGCAGCTCCAGTCAACGACTGCCCTCTATGCAGGTGCACCGTTCCTCGAAAGCGTATCGTTTATTGATGGATGTCCTTGCATGAACAGATTGGACCCGGGCAAGCCGACAGGGAGACATGGGGAGGGGTGGCGAAAGGGGTGGGGAAGGATCACACGCACCGTGTGAAATGAGGAGATTTTGCGCGGCATTGCGCCGATGCAGAATTTCACAACTTCCATGCAGCACTGTGCCTCGTGCATCCTCGTGCTCGCAGCTAGCAGCGACCCAGATTCCGCTGATCACTAATGCCAGGTGCGGAGTATTTTGTTCGAGTGGCCGTGGTCTTAGTAATCAACCTGGACTTGATGGAAGCTCGAAATCGAAGCAAGGCAGGCACGTGCCCGAAAATGTTAGTTGATCTTTGTGAGGTACTCGTGGCAAGTGCACCTAGTTCTGGGCAGCGTGAACCCTGGCAGTTCCAAGTTTCCGGTGAGGCCGCGTCACTGCCGAGGGCGAAAACTGCTAAAGTGGAATCAGCGGGCCGCCCTATAGAGCTCATAGACGCATGACCAGTTGTCTACATTCGACCTTTGTCTCATCTTGTATGGTTGTGCACGTGTGCATCAAGTGACAAACAAAACCCGTTCGAGGGTGTTGCCTCTCGAGTTTGCCGGTGCGGGCAGCAGTTTTTTCAAGTAGACTTTCCACGCGCAGCCATGGCTGATGCAGGGACCGACCCGGTCGACGGATGAGCATAGCTGGGGTGAAACCCGTCCGGATGCGGTATGATCGCAAGCCGTGGGGTCAGGTCCCCCCGCAGATGGAGACGGCTGAGCCAGGTTCGGGACCGTCCGCAGCGGTGCATGGTGATGACCCCATGCAGCTCAAATCCAGGGCAGAGGGCTTGTCGCGGTCTTCGCCCACGTTGATGAGGCCACTACGCGTTCGACGCTGAACCGGCTTCGGTCAGTGTCAGCCAACTTTCCTTGTGAGTGATACCAGCCAGTGCCGGATCCCACGCAGGGATTCCCGTTCCCTCCGGACGGCAGCCCCCTCGTCCGGGCAGCTTCTTTTTGGCATCGTCGTCTTTGTTGTGGGACTCGCACGAGCCAGCCCATCCGACTTGGTTGGGCCAGTGGATGATCCGTTTTCACACCTTTCAGGTGGGCCTTGGACTTGGACTTCTTGGCCTTTGTTCGAAGGAAGGCTGCCTGCGTGGATGCAGTCAGTTTGCGCAGACCTTGCAGCCTTGGTGGAGGAGTTGGAGAAGGCACAAGAGTCTTGGTTTCTCACCGTGCCTGCAGGCCACTTGCACAGTTCCCCTGGCCGCTGTTTTCGGGTTTTCCTTTGTTGGGTCCCTTGGTGACAGGCACAGGTTGGGCCGCACGTTCTGACTTCAAGACTCCCGACCTCTGTCCCGCTCCGAGTTCTTGTCCGCTAACCGAGAGGCCTAACGAACATTCCGCAAGAATGTTCGAGGAAACTTTCAAAGAGTGTAAGCTGGGTCGCGTGTCGCCAACTGCTTCAGGACACCTCAGCTTGTGCCTCCGTGCGTTGCCGTGGATGCGCAGCAAGCATAACTCCACCCCATGGGTCACTGACAGTCCATCATATGTTAGCGCAGCATCCAAGCAGATGCGCTGTCTTTCCTGGCAGTATCCTTACTGATAGTACCGTCAGCCCACTTCGTCGATGACTTTTACTTGTCCGAGGATTCCGAGGTTGCTCGGCGAAAAAAACCTTTCACACCAGTCTGGGCTTCAGGATGAAGGAACTGAAAAAGAAACGACCTGCCAGGTCGCACGCCGTACTCGGTGTTCTGTGGATTTTGGTTCCCGAGAGTGCGTGGGCGAGTCCCTGCCCAGAGCGCGTGGCCAAACTGGTCGCCTCCTTGTCGCACAAACGCGCTTGTGCGGCCCCTTTCGCAGCCCGGTTCGCAGGCGAGCTTGCGTTCGTTTGCTGGTGGGTGTTCGGCAGAGCAGGACAGGCGCGCCTTAAGCCCCGGTACCGACGACAGCACTCCAGTTCGTCGGCCGAAGTTGCACTGTCACCACGCTTCTTGCCTAGCGGCCTGGCATCTCGCGTTCGGTGGAGATGAAGATTGGCCGCCGCCTTTACGCAGATGCCTTCATCACGATGCATGGCGACCGGCGGTGTACTAACAGGTGGATGGACGACAACGCAGCCCTGCAGCAACTGCGTGAGTCCACCAACGGTTGGGGAGCGATCCATGTGGGCCCGTTCGGATCTCGCTGGAGGTTTAATTATAGCACAAGTCCCAGAACACGTGCTTCGCCAGTTGTGCTCTTCGCGGGACTACATCTACTGGTTGGAATCGACAGCGCAGTTGATCTCCATGGCAATGATTTCAATTGCGGTGATCTCCGGCGACCAGATGGATCGTCTCGCGTGTTTCGCGGACAACACTGCCGCTGAGCACGCCCTCAACAAAGGGACTTCTGAAATCCAGCACAGTGTTGGTTGATAGGTTCGTTTCGGTTGTGGGTGGCTAAGCAGGGCTTGTTCGATAAGTTTGCAACGGGTGACCAGTCAGGCTGAGTCAGGCTAATTAATTTCTCCGATAAGGTGTCTCGAGGTGATTTGTCAGAGGCTGACGACCTCGGCTGTCAGCGCTTGGAGCCCGTGTTCCCTGACTTTTTACCACTACCAGTGACTGGTTTCTTCGAGCGCGACGTTTAAAACGGTTCTGTTGCTCCAACCCATTCGTTCGCATACAGAACACCAGCAAAGTCGAGCAGGTCGAGGCGATAAGACAGAGCCTCCAGCGTGTCTACCAGTAAGGCAGTTCAGCGGAGTTTAGGGTTTTGTCTGGTTGTGCACGTGTGCACCAAATGACAAACCCCGTTCGACGATGTCACCTCCCGAGTTTTACAGCTTTTTCAAGTCCCGCTACCCACTGTGACGACTTACCAGTCCGAACAGCGGTTTGTTCGAGCGCGCCGCTTATAATGATTCTGTTGCTCCAACCCAGTCGAGCAGGTCGAGCAGGAAGGAAAGAGCCTCGACCGTGCTTCCCTGTTAGCAGCACAGCGGAGTTTAGGGTTTTGTCCAGACCTTCTGCCCTACAAGTGTGCTGCTCTTCAGACGAGCTGACGTTTCGAATGCTTCGGGGAGAGAGAAAGAAAGAAGTCCGTTGAGTTGAGCAACATGACAAAGACGGGGGAAACATGTCACTGAGAGCGTATATGTTCTTTATCGATATCGTATACTTTGTGGCATAAGCATTTGGACAGGTCATACTCAAGCTCTACAGCCCTCTTCCTGAACAACTTGCAAGTGCGGGTGGGCTTGAATCCCGGGGATCTTGACCAACCCCCATGCTCGGAAGAGAGAGAAAGAGAGAATTTGGCTTCTCCCGCGGGTTTTTGGCAGCGAAGGTGCTGTAGTTGTCTAATGAGATTGGTTGGTGCTGGTGCGGTTTTCGGTTTCAGTGCGACTTTCACCCTTCCTGCTTGATTTTCGCCGCTGAGGGACATGTGGCTGGAATACGTGCCTGCTTCGTGAGAGTGTGCGAGTCGAACATGAAATCATCCGCACTCGTGACAGCTTTGGCAATTTTGCTGGCTGCAGGCAGCTCCTGCTGTGCCATTTGAGTCTGCGACCAATCGCTCTGTCGGACACTTGGCCAGAGACATGTAGATGCACAATGTCACTTGTTATCTTCACAGGCATCCGTTGAATGATGCCCGGAGGTTGATCTCAAAGTCTGTAGACGCATAGAACCAGAGCTTTCATTATTGACTCTGCAGTGCCGCCGAAGAGCCAGCCTACCAGCCAGACTCACGAGGCAGGAATTCTCTCGACTGGTTCTTTGGGTGCCACCATCTCGTTCACATCCATCCAGGCAAACGCCTCGAGCTTAGATGGTGTGTCACGCAGCCATGCATGAAACTGTATAAACGACAAGCATGGAGCCCGACCTGTCTGTGTGAGGCTCGGACCCTGATTACGGTCTATTTTCTCCCTGAGCAGGTCCAAGGCAGCTAGACTGCATTGGCACCCCAGGATCCTCCCCAGGGGTGCATGCGGGCATTGTGGGTTGAGGAGCATGAGGAATTGCCGACATTAAGAACAGCATCCGGCAGGGGGCGAACTGGGTTTGTGCAGCGCTACTGCGATTATCATGACATGCTGAGGCATTTTTCTGCGCTACTTGGTGTTGGACTCAGCGCTTAGCCAACGACACGCCGTGCGTCGAGATTTCCTCAGCTGATGTTCGCAGCATTTTTTCTCGTACAAGGTGCTCCAGGCACCTCGTGGATTCGACTTCGCCACAGCGGTGAGCTGGAAACCAAACATGCAGTTAGCACGTGCGGAAAACTGCCAAGTGAGATTCCAGCTGTTACTAAGGCCCTGGCAGCTGCGAGATGGTGGCGCTGCTATCTACGTGCGGGTCCCGAGCCACCCAGCAAAGGTGACTACGCCGCTACGGGTGATGGAATGAGTTGTGATCTCTAAATTAATCGAGCTGGCTTCTTTGATGTTTGCACCGCAGGCCAGCCCACAGCCAGTGCCAGGACTCACGAGCAGGTAGCGCATTGCGCAGTGTTGCGTTATACCCGTGGCTAGAGCTGGGAAGTACAACAGTAACTCCTCCGCTCTCCTAAGCTGCTGGGGATTGCTTGTGTTTTTTGACCTTGGGCACGCTGGCTGTCATCAGCCTGTGTGCAGGCCATTTCTCCTGGACCAGTGACATTGCCACGATCGTGCTACCACCATTGTCACGATTATTGGCACAAGAGCGGCCGACTCAGGATTGCACTTAGGAGTCCATGCGGTTGTGATCTCCGCCACATGTCTTGAAGGTACGGTTTTGCAGTCTTCGCCATGCTTCCGTCTTTTCCAGGGGCTTGGGTCGTCACCTCGGCTGCGCAAGCCATAAGTGCCACGAAAGTCTCGTGCCAGATGCTTTGGCCGGAACTTGTTTTTTGGAAGGTTGAAGAAGTGAACGGTCGCGGAACCTTCGCCCTGGAGACTCAGACGGAGGATGCAGAGTGTAGGATGCAGAGTCCCTGTGCTGCGAAGGCTGATAGTCGCAGTAGTAAGTCGCCACCGATGATATCGAAATTGTTGTGCCATGCATGCACTGTGCAGTGCAGCCCTGTTCGCCTGAAGCCCGCATCCAAAGTCTGCCAGTAAACCTTCCCCAGATCCCAGTCTGTCAAAGTGGACATCAATGCCGAAAAGCAATCCAGGATGCCTCTCCCTGCGACACTCTTCCTGCAATACCTGGGCCCGATGTTTTCCCGCAGCCTGACAGAATTGAATCTTGCATATCAATGTCAGCGGAGCGATATCAGGTCGTGCGTACAAGTACAATTGCTCTCGGCGTAGAAGGTCACTGTGGCGAGAAACGAACCCTTGAGCAGTGCAGCGGCTGGATTCGTGGCAAAGTGGCTGCAGGTCCGCCTGCGCTGAAGCATCCGTGCGTCTTGAACTTAAGAATGCACGGGTACTGACGATAAGGTGGGACGGAAACATGATGTTCATGTTTTCCTACATCTCGAATGCTTGTTCGGGTGAGCAGCCCCGGTGGAGTGCATTGAATCCGACAGAGGCCTGTCGACGACAGAGCCAGAGCAGGAAGCACTTGCCACGCTGGCTTTCAGGCGCGATGGCACGTGCTGCACGCTCCAAGTGACGTAGTAGTCCTAGCAGGCTCCGGGATCCCACACGCACTGCGAGGCCAGGCGCGCAGCATCCTTCGCCTGTCCCAGCCGTGCTCGAGGCTCAGTCAGTCAAGGCCTCCTTGAGGAACCGGGGCACCCCTTTTTCAAGCAAAAAAGTCAAGCTTACCTGTCAGATCTAGTTTGACTGGAGAGGTGTCTTCATGAGCTCCCCCACAAGACTTTGAATGTCGTGCTGGCATGCGGCGTAGCTCCAGACCAGTGGCAGCACTCAGCACATCCCATTGGAGTACTGTCGTTTTGCCCGTACGCGGCGAAATGTCCTTCTCCCAGCTGTCACGCTTCACCCACTTGCTCAACGTTTCTGCCTGTTTGCTCACTTCGACCTGCACGGTGGAAAGCTGCTTCCGGAGTAGACTATAAGAGTTATGTTACATGTTAAGTGATAGCAATGCAACAGCCATTAGTTGGCCCGTCAGTGCTACACTCTACGCCCTGCAGTCGGACTGCTCCAGGCTGTATCTTCATGTCGAAGCTCCATTTGGTTACAGCTTGCAGCTTACAGACAGTGCATGCTCGCCGCCTCCTGACGAGTTCCGTCCGTCAGTGCAGCCTGTACAGACAAGCATGATGTATCAATCTTGCAGCTGCTCTTCAAACCCGATAGCACACAGCATGCACGTGTGGCCAGGCTGGGTCATGCCGGTATCGTCATGGTCTGCTCAAGTGGCACGGGGTCGCCGCCCCAAGCCATTCCACAAAATGTGTTTGGATGTTTACAGAAAGGCCAGTAGCGGCCCGATTGGAAGCCGGTGCATGTACAACTTTTTCCAGCCGCAGCAAGTAGTAGAATCCTAGAAGGCCCCCCCACGTGTTGACATCCCCGACCCTTCTTCAGAGGTCCGAACTCCGTTGCTGTGGCCATGCCAAACCTCATTGCAATCGGAACGTGTGTTGCTGACCAGAAGCGCGGGCCTTGGTTGCTGGCAGGATATCGAAAGTCCATCATTGTTCAAGAGCTGAAGCACTAGTGTGGTAGCCGCAATTGGTCAGTGACGCAGATGTCCACCAGTTCTTTGATATATCGAATGTTGCGGGCTAGCGGACTGTGAAGCTTTGTCTAAACGACCTGGCCCTCTGTCAGTCAAGCGTATGCAGGAAGACTGGCAGCAGGGAGTTTCGCTTGATTGATGACGTCCTTGCTTGCAGCAGTGGAGGAAGCCCTAGCAGAGAACACACTGCCCACCGCACAGGTGTACAGCTAGGCGCAACTTGTGAATTTCAGAGTTGCTCTGGACATGGCAGGGACATCTTGTGCATCTCCACGACCGACACCCTGACCGCCATGGACGAAATAACCATCACAGCTGGCATCATCGTCCCCTTGCAGAATCCGGATGTGCCTCAAGGACGCTTTGGCTTCTGCTGATGGGTCTATGTATGTCAATGTATGTCCATGTCGATACATGTCGGGGTGTGCATGTGTGTGCCAGCAGGATTAGGTCGACGTTCTGTGCGGCTTTCACTTGCTCTATCCCACTGTTTCCGTACTCTGAATTCTTGCCGACATGTATGCACCGCACCAGGTCTTCTCAAGTTGCACAACATACATATTTAAGGGGACAGGGGGGATTGCAGTCAAGACCGCATATGCATAGCTGACCTGAGTGGCTGGTGGTGTGCAAACATGAGTTTGTGTCCTCTACATTTTTCCAGACAGTGTCGTCGCGAGAATGACAACGACCCCTTGAGTCAATAATTTGCCTCTCCGTCTGTGTGTGTGCGCGCGTGTGTCTCAGCAAGTGCGTTATTGTGTACGGAAGAGAGGGAGAGTGATGTCAACGCCGCGAATGCTGCAATCAGGATCTGGCGAGCTTCCTAGTGCATCCACCTGGCATTTGAGGCGGGGTGCCATAACACACCTCACATGGCGGGAAACTCGACATACCACATCTGCGCATTGTAGAGCCATGATACAGTAACTCGGAAGTTCGTTGGCTGAGCCACTGATGCAAAAGGGTCACACGGTGCGGATGTTCCAGCCAGGATAGCTTCTGAGCTCACCCTGAGCCCTGGAATGGCTCCAGCCTCCCGCTGGCTGGGCTGCCATGTGCGTGCGGCCCAAGCGCCGAGGGATGATTTGTAGTGAAAGCTTGGTTCTCTGACCTGATAATGATAATGCGGAAAAGCCTGAGTTCGATGGGAGGCAGAATCGGGATCTGAGGATGTTTGAGCCTCCGCGTCGAGTGCGGCGAATCTTCGCCGCAGCGGCTGAAGCTTCGAACGCTGGCCACTCAGCGCTCATCGTCATCACTGTCTTGTCTATATTGGGCTCTCGCCCGGATCGAGCCCAGCATGACCCAAAACACAGCTGCAGCCATGCAAGTGACCCTGCTGCCTCTCTTGGTGGCGGTGACCCAAGGCTACAAGGTGCTTTGATCGAAGCCAACTGTAGGTTCCGTGGGGAACTTCCGGGTGGAACGGCAGGAAGTGACTGTGCTGAGGAAGAGAAAGAACGAGCTTGGCTGTGGTAGCTAGTGAAGTTCAACAGAAGCTGTGCACACTTCGCCCAGGCCGTCGTAGGGGCCGGGTGCCTGGCATTCTGCATGCCTTTTTGGCAAATCATCTGCTGCTGACATTGCTGCGCTTGGGCATGTTCAGCCAAGACTGTGGGCGTCCGAGGATTCTCCTAAGGGCACGAGGAACCCTTCTAGGCGTCGCGTCTACAACATGACGCTAGCGCGCTTTGAGAACTGCAGGCAGAGAACGACATCACATTCTCGGTGACCACAGTGACAGAGGCGGGACAACAAGCTTATGGCGTCTACGGGTGATATTACATTCTGGCCCCGACCCCATCAACATGCATCTGACAGTCTACCACAGACTTGAGCAAGTGTTCGACAAGCTGCGAAGTTTCCGCGTCAGGCCAGGCAGAACAGACCTCCGAAAACACACGCGCACACACACACACACAGAGCGCATCAGCCGATTCACCCCTGTGAGTGGTTCATCGCTCCTGTTGCTTGATGCTCTGTGACATCCGGCACGATGGTCGCACGGCAACACCCAGACGGGGAAGAGAACCTTCACCAGGAGGGCAGAACAGCCTTTCAAGCCCTTCAACTCCTGTACTCGCAGAAGCCCGGACCTCCGCGGTTACTTTTGGGCCTGGCCGTCGCCCTATACCTTCAAAAGGGCTCACAGCCAGAGTCTACAGCCGATGTCAAAAACGAAGGACGAGAGCCAATGTTAAGAAAAGCGCCTCCGCCCGACTCGACTGCTGGCAGTTTCCTTCTTCAGAATACTCTCGCAATTGTCAGCACGTTCTCGGCAGAGCTTGCTGTAAAGGCTCGAAATGTCGGCCACAGCATATCAAACCCCATACCTAAGTCTTGTCATCGAGTGTGCTGTCGTAAAAACATACCTATTGAACCCACCCTGTCATGCTTGGACATCTTTCATTAGCACGAGTCAAGCGAGCCAGCATAAACCATTTAGCCTGCCCCTTTGCTGTATTTTTGATCCAGATTTGAAGTGTTTTTCACCTGTGGCATTTGATTCTCTGCTGGTCCAGATGTGATCCCTCACCCAGAAGAACAAGAAGCATTTAGATGCACACCATAATGCTGGCACAGTAAGTCCATCACAGAAGCCTAGGTCGCGACAACAATTGCAAGTGCGTACGATGCAACCTGAAGTAGTCCTGCATTTTGCCGCCAAGTCACGCCAATCCGTTCGCTCACAGTCAACATGCAGGTGCCGGTTGGAGGTGCCATTGTTTTGGTGCCACCCATCGATGTGTTCGACTTTCCGAATCCATGCCAGGCGGCCGACTAATAGTTGCATTTCGAGACATCATGGTGTTCTAGCCATTCTAGCCAAGCTTTAGAGTTGAAGTTCATGTCGCTGGGATCTCAACCACGGTCGCCCCATCGTGCTAACACGGAGCTGTGCAAGACTTTCGCACCACTGACCGTTTAGTTCCCTCTGCCCGCAGCATTCTCTTGACTGCGCAGCCGAGAACGTTGACATGAACAGGTGGAGGTGCCGAATAGCGCCGCATTGTCGATCTTTGGTCTTCCTCTGCCGGAGTTCCGAACCGCTCGCTTGAACCACAGCATGAACACAGCCATTATTGGGCCCCGCTTCGCAGATCGGCTGCGTTTATTCAGCATATACAAAAGCTTCAGCCATGTGTGTCACTGTGTCACTTCAAGAGCACACTTCTCATGGTGGACATGCCAGATCTGCTGGTGCTTCCTGCACCTCCTCGGCACTCGGAGCCGCAGCCGGCCACCCTGGAAAATTGAACGCAATGGCCGATTACATGCCTAGGCCTATGTTTGTGTGTTCGAAGATGGGGTCGTGGGAGTCCTTGAGGTCGTCCTGCAGCTGGGCGCCCTACCGGCAAACACCTACCTGTTCACTGTGTGTCAGCCTCAGTGTCTGCACATTCCGTGGGCACGAGCGACTTGCATTCCTTTGTCCTGCAAGTTTTGAGGCGCGCAGTCCGCAACTTACGGACAATTGCCGCAGACGATCTGCTGCTGCCACCTTAGATCTAAGCCTCTAAGCCACGCGTAGCCGTGCAAGACATTGGTATTAAACAGCGTGATTTGGCGACATGCCCATTAAAAGTGTTCGTTGGTAGAGATTTTGTGGTGGATACAACTTAGCCGTCACGAGTCGAGAGCCACGCGATAATATCTTACTGTATCTGTGCAAGACGAAATCGCCGGTGAGATGCCACCCGTCATGTTAAGTTGACCTTTGAGCTGGAACACCGGCGACCTAGAACCTGAATCGGAATTGCACTGTATCCGATTAGCAGTGACTCGGAGACCTGAGCCCCCTGCATTCCCAAACTGGTTTGGAGATGGACGCCTTCGCCCCCCGAAGCTTGCCAACACGAGCCCCTGTTGCGACGGCCTTGATTCCCGAGCTGTTCACCTGTTAGTTCACCTGTTTGTTCCTGGATGTTCCTGGTTGCGGCACCTTCCGGCGCTGCAGGTTCCAGTGGCAAGCATACACAGTGGCAGCAGGCACTTGCAAGCACAAGTGCGTGCGCTCTGTGGCATCGAATGTCGGTCTTTGCTATGTTGTTGGTCTTCCGGCCACTTGCATGTCTTCTTGTGAACACCTGTGCAGCTCGTCCTCATGCTGTGTCGGCTAAAAGTGGAGATGGAGAGCCAAAAACACGTGCAGGAACGCTTGCTGCAAGCAGCATCGGCAGCCCGTCCGTCTCCTTTCTGGACCAGCTGTAATAGCTTCGCTGGAAGGGTTTTCGTGTTGATGAACAGCAGCGGCGACAGGTATTTGGGCGGTTAGAGGAACGGATTCACGGCGAATGCGCGTGTTTTTACTTTGTCCGAAGGGCGGAATGCGACACTTTGGATGTGGATAGTTGCCTATCCCGGCTATCCCTCCCGCTCCATATCTATCTCACTCTCTCTCTCTCTCTGTGTTTTCCCCTCTCTGCTTTTCTGTGACATAGAACGCGACCCGAATGCACCGGATTTCGGGCACTGAACGGGGTTGCGGGGGGGGGGGGGGGGGGNNCGGGGGGGGGGGGGGCGGGTCAAATGCAGGGAGTCGAGCGTTGCCGATTGCCATTCTCGAAGGACATCACGACAGGGCGCGATTCCCGCATGATTTTACAGAGCTACCAGTAGCGAGATGGCATGGCCATGGACCCTCATGAGGAGAGGGGTTCATGCGAATGAATTACAACTTCAACGGCGCTCAGCATCGCACGTGTGACAGGAACTGCCTCCGCCCAACACGTCCAGCTTTTGCAGACAACGACAGCAAGAGCATGATATTTAATGGGATCAGTGATCAGTCGATTCTTCAGGTCAGTCCCAAGATATTCCCGCAACACCTAGAGACCGAAGAGAGAATAAGTTCGTGGACGCCCTCCAGGATAGCCCAAGAGCTTTTGCCAGCGTCTCGGTTCTGGTAGCCATGAGCCGGGAACTCGGCAAAGTCACAGCTGGGACCTGGCTGTCCTGCATTGCGGTTTTTGGTTGGGGATGGATAGGTTTCGTGCTAATGGACCTCTGCTTCGCAAGACTTCAGACATCTCCAGACTGAGACGATGCCTTCATTGACACAGAGTTGCTCGACCTCTCCGTGACCGGCTTCACGAAAGGGTGCGCCTTGCTGCCGTTGTAGCATAGCGTCACATGAACCGCATGTGCAGAAATGAAGCTGTCTGGCCGATTCTTGCGTTGGTGTGCTTTTGCTGGATTCAGGCGTGGTGCCTTGAACCAAGTTGTGATTTGTTTCCAACAGTCTTTGGCCCGAGCCTCGGGTGGCAGAGCACCGAATATGGCAGACCCCATTCGGACTCACCTCAAGGATCGTGCTCAAAAATTCTGAGCAGACGGCCCGGACTACAGACCCCAAATCGACACTCGGCATGAGTCCAAGGCTTCCCTTGCTGGACAGACACTGAGCGTGGGAAGCCCAGACTACAAATTCCAGTCGTCAAAGATGAGGTATTTTGGTGGGTGGACAGGTGTGAAGTGCAGTGTAGAGCGAGAAGAGGGGGAAGCAATGCGGCAAAAGTCAGTGGGTTGCTGGGCGATTTACCAGCGAAGCTCACACAACACTTGCATGCGCATGATGGAGGGCTAAACTAAGCAAAGCTGCTGCGTTGATGATGCTTCGTTCTGTCACGTCTGCTGATGTGCAGAAGTGTGCGAACAGCACCGAATGCTGTAGGAACATGTCGGTCGGTTCGTGGATCTCGACGTGTATAACGGCATGGAATGTGAGATGTAGTCGGTGCATGTCGCTGCGGTGTACCAGTCACACGGAATCAGCAACAGAGGCCCGGTTCCAACACTTGGGAACCAGCCATCCAGAGCCGACCCCGTAGGACGGGTAAAAGCAGCAAACATACACCTCCCCGCATTCTGTGATGGGATCGATTATGTTCTGCCTCTGATGTGGTGTGGCAGGTGTTGATGTATAAGAACATGCCACGATTGCGGGCAGATCTTCGAACTATGTTGACACGGTTCTGAATGCAGCGACATGTAGTGAATGTAGTGTGCCACACAGTGGTATAGGCTATGCAGACACCAATCACTATACCATGATTACTGGATGCTTGAGAAGCAGATAAGTGAGGTTCTCCATGGTTGAGACCGCAACGTGGTGTATAATTGTCATACACATGCATGATATCCGCTGCTTGTGCGTCGCGATGCATGGCAGTACTCGATGTGGTGGACTGAGTTGTGAGCAAGACGAGCTGTGTGGCCAAGGATGCCATGAAAAATGCCAGGTACGCAGAACCTGATATACCGATGTACACACTGGCCTCCACACTTTTGAACCATGAACTCAATTGATGGTTGGTTGCTCGTCACGATGTTCTGCAATTTGCTACATGTCCTGCTGGCGAGGCTGACGTGCTCTCTAATGCATGGTGAATCTTGTGTCGCTTTGGGAAGCGTCCGGGCATGATCAGAACCCCAAGGGTGGGTAACGCTGACCATGTTTCGTTGGCGACATGTTGAAACTAGCTCCTCGGGCAGAGGGCAGACTTTGCGCTCGATCATGCCGCATGCCTGTTGGCTGCATCCCAGCTTAGGTCTACATTCCAGACGGTTTCAGGCCTGGTCCTGCCCAGTCATGAGAATCGAAGCTGACTCGCTTCGTGTGGCGTGCATCGGCAGTCATCGGCATGTGTCCGCACCGTAGCAGCAGGAACCGTGTGAAGGTGGGAGGCCAGGCTAGAAGGGTATGGGCCGGCTGGTGAAGCGTCATTTCTATGCTCACGAGTCGGGCTTGGAAGCAGCAAGACTTGTGATCTTCATGTTTGTTGCCAGAGGACAAAGCGCAATCCTGCATATTGATGTAGGAGTTCATATGTCACATGTCCATATAGCAGATCTTGGCATGGAGTTGTGTCACTGACTGCGTATTGATGACCGCCCAATCAGCCGCAACATGGCGCCGACTGCAAAGCCGGCACCGCTGGCAGCCCACTCCTGCAGGGAGCTTGCCTGTTGCAAAAGTGAGCCCCGCCTCGCAAAAAAACTGTTTTGAGAGGTTGCTCAGTCAGTTTCACTGACAGGCGGAGGATGGCCGAGACTAACCCGGTTCAGCGGACCTTCTGAAGCCATGCCTGCCTGCGTGCGAGTGTGTGAGTCGAAACCGGTTCATGCAGGTAGGTGTTCGGGCATCACTTGAAGGCTTCGTGTGCCTCTGCCATAAAATGCCAGCGGCCCCTCGAAGCTGACGATGGAGTCAGCATGGCATGACGTGCCCCTCACCCCCACACCACGGAGTTTGAATGAGGTTGGCACTTCAGGACCCAAACGATTCTGGATTCAGTTTTCCATTGTCATCTCCAGCAGCCACGGTGCTAGCCAACAGTTGCCGAGGCAGCAGTCAAGCACAGCCCCTTCAGACAAGTTCCTCGAAATCCAGTGAAAGGTCGGAGTTGTCACGTGCAGGAGAGACGTTAAATGACGGTCCTTGCGACTTTTTCTGGGCCGGGGTGGGGGCTCATCACGGGAAGCGAGTTTTTTCCGTGATGTACCCAGCTCAGTGCTGCTCTGTGTTGGCAACTATGGCTGGCTATGCGGCGTGGGCGTAAGGATTCGGCAGTGTTCAGATGTGCCCACTCACTTGGCATGTCTACCGAGAGGCGTGATCTCGCATTCGGTGGGCATGCTGCTGTATGCTGCCGCGCTGATCTTGTACACTGTGCGGCTTGGCGCAAACAACCCTTGTCTGTATACGGCTTTCAGCACACTGAATAGAACGGGAGCGGTCCCGGCCTGCACGTTACATCGTGGCCCATTCACGGCATTCAGCGAAGACTTGTCCCTGGCCCCGAAAAGTCAGAGCTCAGGAGAGCTTTGCTGGTTTGGGCTGCAGCTCCCATGGTGGAGACCTACTCCGTGGTGGAAGCCAAGGTCGGTAGGGACTCCCAAGCGACCACAAGCCTTTCGAACTATGCAAGCATGTGCCTCGTCACTGGCTGCAACTGTAGCTGTGACTAGCTGTGACTAGCTGCACTAAGCCTCTAAGCTGTCCCCTCAGAGGAGTTCGGACCTCTCGATCTGGAGCTGCCTTGCCGAGAAATTTAGCTTTGGTTTTGCTTTCATTAACCTTCATAAGTCTGTTTTTGCAAGTCTTGTGCAGAGAACGTGTCAACTACGTAGCCACAAGGGGGCATCTGTTCAATGGGCGGAAAAGTTCGCAGCCCGAGAAGGTTCGAAGTTTCGTGCCCTTCCTGCGTGCTCTTTCAATCAGCGAACTTCACCGAAGGGGAGGAGCACTGGCGAGTTAGGTGCCATGGCCACAGCACTTCGAGTTCGGTTTGAGCGATGTCGTGTTGCAAAGGCTTAGGGTAGGCAGGGCGGGTGCCATTCATTTCCTAAAGTGCTTGTGCGTCAACTCTATCCGGCATGGGGCGTTGTAGAAGTGAGAGTACCACGGGAAGCAACGAAGCATGGACGGCTTATCGCTCGAACGTGTGCAGCAGTACATTATAACTGTCAGAATCGGCAGGCATGGCTATGATGCTGCAATCTACCCGCACTGCGCTGAAGCTGCAGAGAATCACACCGTGGATGAGAGGCTTTCCAAGGCAACACTATGCTACAGCCACTCACTCAGCCTTCTCCAGATGTGCAGAATGATGTCAGGCTTGGTTGTGGGATTTGTGAATGCTGACCTCAATCATCATGAGCCAAAAAACCATACAAACATAAACTTTCGGTGCTGGGATGCCATGGTTAGGACATGTAACCAGAAGGCAGATCCCTGCCAGTTTACAGGTCCACGGGTGTTGTGCGCGAGCGGATAGATCGCAGCTTAAGCTTCGGACTAGTAGCATATTCCATTCGCGAGGAGAGGTTCTGATAGACAGGTCGTCTGGCTGCACATACAGTCCGTGTAAGTGCTTCCTTTATGTAGAAGTGTTTTTGCACTGCTTGGGCGGCCCACATAAACTTTATCAAGCCCGCGGACATCCCGGCACGAAGCCTGGACGTCCCGAGAAAAAAAGGTTGATGCTTTTCAATTTTCGAGGAAGAGTAGTTTGCCTTGGTTCGCAAGCACATAGACTTTCTTAGGCACACGGACGGAAATGTCCCGGCGTCCTCTTAAGAGCTATCGTTCAGGACGCAGTCTGTGCATCCTTTGTTGAATACAACAAGTGGGGTGTTTTTAACGATTGCCTGTAACCTTGCCTTCGATCGGCGCACATCCGGTGCCCTTGTTCCCTTCACTTGTTCGTCTCTTTGTTGATGTCTTGCCGATTCGTCCCGAAGCCAGAGTTGATTAGTTTATGTAGTTTGTGCCCGTATATTAAAGCTGAATCGACGGTCTTCTGAGCCTTGCACCTCTTGGAAGAAGTGCTGACTGAGCACATCATTTTGCAGCTGCGATGCTAATCTGCTGGCAGCACACGTCGAATCCTGTGCTGTGCTTCAAAGCTGCGCCCTGCTGTTCCCAAATTCAGGTTCCGACGACATTTCCGAAGCTTCTGGCATTGTCGTCTCTCTCTGGAATATGACCACAGGAGGCGCTGGTGCAGCATGTTTCGGCACTGCACGTGAATTGGTCAAGACAGTGCCAGGCGAGGGCAATCGTGCAAACGTCATCGTCAGGGGCCCGTCCCTCGTGGTTACCACCCCCCTGGAGTGGTGGCATGCGTCTTGGCTGGAAGCATCCTGGGACTGTCGGATAGATGTTCGGTCGCTTTGAGCATCCCCTTTCATGGAAACTGCCTGGCACGGTCTTGTGATTTCTTGGGTGCGCTCGCTCGTAGCTGACACAGTCTCACCTTGATGGCACACTGTTGCCATGACGGAGCCCAGGAGAAGACAATACTCCTGGGCTTGAAGGCAGGTTAGCAGAGTCCAAGCGAAGCATGCAACATGTGAAGTGACGCAACCTGATTCGCTGGATCCCGCTCCCCTCTTCGACAAGCATGACTGCCCAAGCCAGTGAGAAGGTGACACGGGACGCGGATGACTGCACTTCTTCCACTGATTGCAATCTGCAGCGAGAGCTCTATCTCGGTACCTGGCTGTTTAAGGCGACGTTGAAGGCTACAGCTGCAAGCTAAATTCCTTGAAGACAGTATCACAAGGGCCGCTTCCCTTACGGAGAGCAGCGACTTTGTGAATGAGCTTCTTTTCCGGCTCGTTTTCTCATCAGGCTGGTGAGCGGAGTCAAGCGGAGTTGTCGAAGCAGCTCAGGCAGCATGCAGTACGATGGCCGGGTGCAGGGTTGGCCTGGTGCACGGCTGAACCTGCGACTGCTGCGGATGGCCCAAGTGATACCTGTCTCAAGGATTAAAACCAGCTGTAGCTGACCTCCACTACCACAGGGACCATGCGGTCCACACCAAACTTGTGGTCGGCGTTGGTTGCGACAGCTTGGTGGCTGCAGGTACACGAAACTGCCTGGGCAGACCATCTGGGATGTGTTGGGAGCAGTTGGAGGAGCTGGTCGACATAGAGAGCCATTGCTTCAACGAGAGATACTGCCTAATTGCCAGAGTCAGACAGATTTGCCAGACACATGTTTCAGCCTGCGTTTTCGGGCAGTAACTCAGTAAGTCAGAGGGAGAGAATGTCACTGCGTGCACCGGGCTATGGTCTTGGAATGCTTCTGTCTCCTGTTCAGGAGCAAATGGCCTTCTGATGAGTGCGCTTGCGATTTTCGTTTCCAGGCTTTCATTGTTGATGCTTTCAAGCTTGTGTTCGGATGCAACACTGTAACAAGGCTCTTCGTTGCAGGGCCTGATAAATTTATCCTATTTTGTGTGTTTGGGGGCTCTTGAGAACAGCTCTCGACATGTCCTACAAACGCACCTATTGTACGGTCCGAAATGTGCCGAAGCTAAAGGCGAATGATGCGTCCTTAAATTCTGTCAACAGAAGAATCGGCAGAAGAAGTCTATCCACGCACGTGCCTCTTGATGAGGTTTCCAGCCTGGAGAAGTGGGAAACAAAGTGTGTTGCTGAGTCAGTCGCTGAAGCGACGACTGCAGTGGCTGATATGGGCGATTCGGAAATGTGAGAAGCCACGGTCAGGCCAAAAAATTCCAACGGCCAAAGAGCTGTACTGCTTCACGGGATTTCCTGTGCAGGCTTGGTGGATGCTTGACAATGCTTTATTTCTCGCTGGAAAGGCCGCCAGATAGTTGTCTTTGTCGACGTTTGCCAGTTCTGGCGCTAAAGGCGCAGAACTCGGAGTTCTGAAGCTGTGGCTGTTTGAGATGTTTTCTCCCCCACCTTTGCCAAGACATCCTTGGAAGGAGGAGGTTCTCGATCTCCCTGCATAGCCACTACGTGCTCCGAATGGAACCAAATGGATTAACAGGGTTAGTCAGAATCAGCCCGAGCCATGCGCGGGGCTTTGAGAAAAGTGATGCTTGGACCGTATGTACACGGCATCATAGGTGAGCCGCAAATTTGGTTTCAAAGGTCCCGACAATCTACAGGACTAGGGTTAGGACTGGACTGGGCTAAAGTCACATAAAGTCACCTGTGCGAGCGGCCGCCGGTACGAGCGGTGTGCTGCAAAGTGTGTTGACTTGGAACACTTCTCGAATTGTGCGTCCAGGCTTGTCCGAGTGTGAGTGTCAAAAGTGTGTTGACACGGCATCGTGGCCCCCAAGTAGCTCAACGGACACGTTTCTCGGTCGCGATGCTTGACGGTGACCCAGAAAAGACTTGCTTGCGAGGCTTCCTTGGAGCGACTCCAACAACTGCCTCGCTCCAGATGCTAACACCGGTGTGCCGAAGGCTGAGGAAACACGATTCGACGAAGCAAACGACTCGTGACTCGTGGTAAAACATCGCTCGCCTCGTACAGCAGCAGCCTAGGCCGCCAGTGAATGTTGCTGACCCTTTTGGCCGCGGCGGCTCTCCAGCGACTTGGTTGTTGAAGTGGATGTGAGCATGTCTCGAACGAAGCATCTAATATCCAGCAAGGATCCGGCTACTTTTGCCTTGTTCCCATCGTCCATGCAAGTGGCCTGCGCGACATCGCCGGACGGCAATGCCGCCTTCCTCACCCTGTTCGGTGCTTGGAGAATGAACATTCGTCGCGATGCTCTCGAAGCGAATCGGCTTGAAAAGGTCTGAAGGCTTGGTGGAGATCTCGCGTTTCTATGCCTTCCGCAACTTGCCGGCGACAAGACCCTTTAGTTGTACTGAATAGAGTTGAATGTTATCTCGAAGTCGGGCGGTTGCATTGGTGCCGGTGGAGTCGGGTCGTTTCTCGCATTTCTGCCGTGTGCAATTCGATGATGTAATCACGTGGCTTTTGCTGTTTCAGCACCCAACTAGAAACAGCATTTGTCGTCAGACTCCTCAAGGTATTTGGAATTGGGTAGACTAGCTACAACCAAGATGGCACTAGCTTTGTCGTGGTTTGGAGACAAAACTGCATGGAATGATTCTTGGCCCCGCTTCAGCGAATCCTTGGCAAAGCTCTCGTCAAGGCTTGGTAGTGCAGAACGCAGACCGCAGCCCAGCCAACAATGCCGCGTGGCAGCAAGTGACTCAAGAAAGCCAACCTGCAGAGGAGTCTGGCATTCACTGCCTCAGGCTGCAAGGACGGAGTAGGTCATGCAGGTCAGATGCTGCATGCGAAAGGGAGCTGAGACAGCAGATCGGGCCCATACTGGCATAGGCCTTCCTCATAATGACTGCCGCACATGCCTGCTGGTCAGAAGCTCAGGCATGGAGGCTCCAATTGGGGCAGCAAGCTTCTCTTCCAATTCGCGGATTCACGATGCAGGTGCGCGTGGCCAATGTACTCAGCTGGTACTGTTCCAGTTGTTGACTCCGGCAGCCTCACGTGTGTATTAGTTTGAGAACGCAGGCTTTTCAGCAGTCCGACGCTGAGCGTAGCTCCATATCTTGCTCCGTACCACCATGTCCGAAGAGAGAGGCGAGGGGGGTTTGGTGCTTGGTGAGCTACACGCTGCCAAGGCTTGCTATCTCGGCCTCGTTTGCCGGCGCAGCTCAGCGAATCGGCCAAGCGCCGCCAAACCTGCTGCAGGCATGCCCCTCCATGCGGGCTTTAATTGACCTGTGTCCGGGCTCGGAGCACTCAGCTCAGCTTCTGTCTCCTGCGCGCATGTACACACAGCTATTCACAGTACATTGAGATCACAGCAGCTCTGCACATTATGTTTCGTTTACAACACACTTGCATAGGAAGGTCAGGTACAAACAAGCTACGAGTCATGTGTGATTATCTACTTGCATTCATAATTGTATGATACATACATGAATATATATATATATGTTCGTGGCGTTTGCGGGCCGTTCGAAAGTGCTGGCCGTAAGTGATCACTACGCCGCACTGCAGAGGGTCGGAAGTTCTTACATATGATATCCAGCACGCTTCTCTTTCTTCTGCTAGATGACCCCAGTTCCTATCATACTTGCAGGTTCTATTTCAACCGTCTGTGCCTGTGCCTTCCGGTGGTGCACTCCAGCTTCGGCCCCAGCTCAGAGCAAGCGCTTCGAGGAAGCTCGTTCCCTTGAGGCTGACACCGCCCAGGGGCTTTGAGCTCATGGCATCCGTGCCTCGCACTTCTCGTGGCGTACTGGTAAAGGCCTGCAGCGAACAACACGGTCAAGATTTGAATCGCATGCCTCGGGAGCCTTGCACTCATGCCGTGGCAGAGGCAAGTGCCACGTGCGTCGGCGAGTCCATCTTCCTAGGCACAGCACGGGGCTCCATGATATCAGTTTCATCAAATGGACCTGAAAGGCGCGCGTTTTGCAGGTGCTGAGAGTATAAGTCTGATTCGGTGAAGCATCGGACGCAAAGATGGCAGTCCATGAATCTCTTGCAGCAGCAGAGACAGCACAACCAACGCCTGAAGGACCCTACCCAAAAGTAACACATAATCACATAAACAAACACAACCACATCACAGAACCCACAACCAAAAGCAACAAACAGCAATCAGTAACCAGCAACCTCCACGCAGCAGCAACAACAACAACAGCAGNNAGCAGCAACAGCAACAACATCAACAACCACAACCACAACGAAACGACCACGACAACGACAACAATAACAATAACAGCAACAGCAACAACAGCAACAGCAACAACAACAACAAGAACACCCACACCAACACCAAACCACCACCCACCCCCACCACCACCACCACACCACCACCACCACCACCACCACCGCCGCCGCCGCCACCGCCACAACAACAGCAATAATAGCAATAACAATAACAGCAAAGCGACAGCCCTTGAGCACCAACAGCGGTGCCAGCAAGAATAGCAGCGAGTAGCAAGAGCGAGAGTCAGAAGGACATCACAAGAGGAAGACAACCAGCAGCAGGAGCAGGAGCAGCAGCCTTTTTCGAATGCTTCTTGCAGCGCAGGCGTTGACTACACTTTCAGCCAATGCCAAGTCCGTGACTTAATTTGGGCGTTTCCACACGGTTTACCCTCTTTGCTTGCGATGCCGGGTAGATGTGCCGAGAAGCCTTTTATTTTGTTGTGCCTCTAATCTAAGTCAAAGCACTCAATGCTGGGTTGCAGGCGGCCTGCTCACAGCGGGACAGCTGTGAGTTCTTTCGAGTAGGGATCGGCGACAGGCATCGAGCTGAGTGCAGCAAAGGGTATGTTTGTGAAGTGCGTCTGGCTTGCCAACACTTCCAAGGTCTGGTGAATGCATCCAGGTCGAAGCCTGAAAATCTGTGCGATTCACGAGCCCGCCACGAAAGCATGTTGAGGCTGCGGCTACTGGTAGCTCCTTCACAGGAATTCCCATGCGGTCCCTTCTTGCCGTGCCCTTCTTGCAGTGGTTTCTATACTGAGGAATCTACGGGTGACGGCTCGATGCCTTGCCAGGCGGAGCCCACGCGGCCATTGTCATCCTCTTGAATCCGTAAAATCGGCTCCAGCAAGAGCCGACCTTTAAACCCCCCCAAAAATTACAAAGACTCTGCATGTCTTCACGATCGTGGCGATTCCCGACGCTGCATGTTGCCAGGATTTCCTGCCCGACGATTCATTCAGTCCGACTGCCCGGAGACTGATACCATAAGTTTTTTGCAAGCATGGATGCCACTGCTTGTCGAGCCTTCACCGAGGTGTGTATCGAGTGACTCCCACAGGCAACTGTTTTCGCTTCCTTCTGACGGAGGCCCCACGTCTTCGGATTGTCGCGTTCGAGGTTTCATAAAAAGGTATAGAAGCAATTCCAATTGCACTGGACTTGTTCGGGATCACAGAGGCCGCCGAATCTGCAGTGGAGGAAATCGCTGGCATGGCTATAAAACTTTCCTTGATCCAGACCGGCAAAGTGTTAGCTTAATTGCCCGCACCGAAGGTTGCGTCCGCGCCATAGGCTTTTTCCAACTTCCGCGTGCAGACACACCAAGTACGTTAAGAGGCCCATGTTTCGCCAGGCCTTGGGCTGAAGTCTTCAGCGTTTCTAGACTGCGCCACAGTTGTCCCCTCTGTTCGGAGTGTTCGGGTTCGCTACAAAAAAGAAAAGGTCCCAGCATCCCGCTTATGGTGGCATCATCACCTCGACCATCTAGCCCTTGCAGCACCTGCACGGTATATGGAAATTCACGATGGAAAAGCCTTCTGTCTGTCATGCCCTAGTATGCCTAACCTCTAATTCAAATCATGCGCACCTGGTCTCCATGGATCGGAGCAAGTTTCTAGTTCTAGAAGGGCCCTAAACAAGTTTCCAGACTGTTGCATAAGGAACAGCCATCGGCCCGAAACAGGACATCAAGAGACACAGCAAAACGAGGACGGAGCTCAACGGAGCGATGTGGACTGCAGCCTCGAGCAGCGGTCTGCTCTGGAGCTTGGTCAGGTGCCATGGCCCTGGCTCCGCTTCTTTTCTTGTCGCACATTCCGTGTGACAGGGAGAGGATGGGAGAGGGGGAGGGAAGCAAGGCAGGCACGGGTTCTGTGCCAGGGGTTTGCGGCTGACCCTGGCGTCAGCACCGTGGCGGCAAGGGCCTCAGTGCCTTGGCACCTCTGTGCACCACCAGAGACGCAACTCTTGCCTGTGGTCCGAGGTCTTCGGCCTCCGAGTCGGAGCTCCGGCCATGGCAATCGAGAAGCTTTACGTCGCCTGAGACTCGCGTCATCGCAGACGCCCATCCGCCGACGTGCATTTCGTGCTGCTGAGGCCACGCTGGCTGTGCGGAATCCCACGCAGGACACCGAAGGGCTTTCGGGGGGTGCAGTGCTTTTCTTGCGCAAAGCTGGCAGCATTCCAATCTTCTCCGCTCGCAGACCCCAGAGCAGAGCGTGTGGACTTTGCAAAGCTTCTCCCAGACTTTGTTGATCTCCGAGGCACGCCTTTTCTTTTTCTTCACCTTCGTTTTATCAGGTTCTGTAGTGCTTGACAGCTCAGAGGGTATTTGAAGGGCTATAGGGCTAGGGCAAACTCCGAGCTTATGAGAGTGTTGTTCCAGGCCCTCCTGGAGGATGGAAGTGCAGATGGCTTTGCTTTGCTCGCAGCTCTGGATCGCTTTTGCCTCGGTTTTGGGCACTTCACTTGAGGTGTTTTAAGAGAAGCCCGAAAGGCTTGGCTATGCAGGGTTGCACGCCCTCCTCCCCGGCCACATCCGCGATTAAGCGCTGCAAGACCATGGCAAGGTTTGGAGCTGCAAGTCCTCCCAGAAGCAGAGAAGCACAAGGCCGTGGCCAAATCCTTCCTCATGCTATGTGCGGCAAGTGCGTCGAGGGAGGCCTTGTGTGCAGGGCCCGTCAAGTGACAAGTGCTTGCGCTTCTGCTACTCAGTCCTTTCGAGCTTTGCGACTCGGCACACTGCTCTGTGTCCTCAGGCGGGTGCTGAGGTCGAGCTGCGAGGACCCTGGTGAGTTCATTGCTGCCTTTACTGGATTGTCTTATTCATTGCCGCAATGCCAACGCGTGGCCTTTGTCACAGCATCCTCACACGCAGCCCTGTGTTCGGTTCATTTTGGTCCAGATTCGTACCACGAAGTTGAATTAGCAGTACGACCGACCAAACAAGCAAGAGAGCGAGCAAGAAGCTTGCTCCAGTGGTGTCCATCGTCCATGCCTGAGGTCCTTCATGTGGGCTCCTAGCGAGCCTGTCATTCCTGCAAGTGATGCTGGGAGCCTGGTAGAAGTCATGATGAAACCTTCCGGGCAGAAGACGTCGCTGCATTCTGTGAGGTCATCGAGGTGCAGTTGCCATCATGGCACGTGGCTTAGAGCTTCATATCTGTTTTTGATTTATGTACCGATCAATCGACAAGAACATTGCGAAGATGCAGATGCCAAAGACGTAGCCAATCCTGGCCACCATCGGTTCGGGGCATGTGCGAGCATGTTGCGAGCTGCCATGCCGGCAACGCACTGAACGTAAAGCCTCTCATTCAGGCTGCAGGTGTCTGCTGCCGTTTGTAGCTCGCTTCGGACGCCAGCTGCCCAGCTGTTCTTGGCGTCCCGCCTCGGAGTGCGCCGGTATGCGCACCAGACTGTTTGCGAACGTACGAATTCGACTCGACTCTGCCGTTGGTCTGCAAGGCCTCAATCGGCAGACTACACGCTAACCGCGTGCTCGCTTCCTGGGCATGCGCCTCAGTCAGCGTGGTTACATGAGTCTGCAGGTATGTTCGAGTAAGTCAAATGATAGGTTTCCTTCCAGGAGTGCATGTGGGAGTCGAGAGGCCATCCACTCTGCAGTTCAGCATAACTGGCCCGGCAGAGGCTTTGGCTCAGGCATGGCCAGAAATCTGCAGATTTGTGCTGGAGGTTTATTGCAGTCAAGCATTTGACGTATCGGCGAGCAATTCCCGGAGGCATCCGTGCGTGTTTTCTCGCGGCTTGCAGGCTGATAGAAAGAATGGCCCTCATGATGTCATGGAACATGTTCTCGTGGCTTCGCTGTTTCGGAGAGCCCAATGCAGTTCTAGCGGGGATCTGTACGCAGTACAAGTCACAGAATTTGGAAATATGTGAACAGACAAAGGCTCCCACAATAGTCGAGGCCAGTACCTGCATGTGCGCCATGATGATTGGTCTGTGCGGACAACTGTGATCCGTGCAAGACGAATCTGCCGAAGGCCGAGCACTTGTGCGGGTCGGAAGCTCCACTCTCGAGGTCGATAGGGAGCACGCAGAGGATGTCTACTAGCCGTTGCATCCCAACGTGAGAGACCAGAACGGTGGCAAAACGGACAATGACGCAATACAAGCCTAGGGTTGCATGACAATCAGCTGGAGCAATTCGGCTGTTCTTGAGCCGTCTGTGCAGTGCAGCATTCTTGCAACAGAGTTCGTGGCAGGCTTCCTGTAGCAGGACCGCAGAGTCTCCGCTCTCCCCTGCGAAATAAAACGAGCATGGAATGGCCGGGTTTTCCGGTTGACATGCAGATTTCAAGCCCCTGTGGTTTGCTGCGCTATGCCTGGCACATCTGGGGTGGAAGGTATGCTAGGGTCTCTGGGAAAAAACAAACCGTCAGGCTGCACCGATGCTGAGCCTGGCTGACTTGTCCGAGAGCTGGCGGCCGAAGGACCGGCCACTGCGTGTTCTGACTTTCGGAGCTTCCGAGATGCCTCGAGGAGGCTCCCAGCTCACAGCTCCTGGCGCTAGTTCTGGGCCTTGGCAGTGCCTCGCTGTCTTTGGGTCTTTGTGCCTTGGATGCCAATTCCTAACATGTTACACTTGCCTGCGCCACACCGACACCATACCCCCTAACGTAGTCCTGGAAACTCGGTCGGAAACAAGCTGCTGAACAGCTGTGTTGCTGCGTTTGCATCCTCCCGGTGTAATTTTGCAAAGGTTACGCTGGCACATCCCTGTCTGCAACAGCTCGCTAGGTTCCGTGTTGCTGCCGCCCCTCAGTGCGCTGAGCGTTCCTGGCGGCTTCGCCTGGACCTTAGGCTGTGCTTGTGCACTTTTGTTTGAGTTGAACTTCAGGGGCCAGGGACCAGCTGTCGCTCGGAGCACACTTCGCACCAGGTCACCAAGACTTTGGTCGGCTTCTGCGGGCTCTCGGGATGCCTCGGCTTTTTGATGGCAGAGACAGCAGCTTCACTGCAGATTTACATGTTTGGACAGAATGTCTGAAAGTGCTGAATCAGCAGGTTGAGCGGCAAGTTTGCGAGAAACATCGAGAAAACTGTGCAGTAATGGCAACGTCCAGTTCCCAGGCCGTCGGTCCTGACACCGAGGTCATCCTGCGGAGTGCGGAAGAACTTTCCTGCCAAAGCCGCCATCAATTCAATGCAGCCTGGGCAAAACTAAATGTCAGCTCTGATGGTTGTTGCGTGAAAGCGCGGATGCTGACTTCTCAAAACAGTTGCGAGTTCAGGATTCAGGCTTTTACAGGGACTGCGACCGGGAGCGGAGTGCTCCCTCTTCAAACTCTTTTGCACAGGCTATCACACTTCAAGTCTTCGGCGCGCTCACTTTACTGCCAGTTTCTGCGCATGTGGCGGCACAACATCACCTGGAAGCATGGCTGAAATTATTGCTCCCTGCATGGAAATCACAGGTCTTCATGTGTCGCTTAAAGAACCTGCTCGTGGTGGCATCTCACATGTCGAGTACGACGGCCAGGCCAAGCTGGCGGTCCTTGCCGCCAACATGTGGCTGATGCGATCTGCACAGTGCCTGATGCTGGACCCACAGCCTCAAGTCACCACGGAAGGGAGTCGTCTAGAGCTAACAAAGACACCGGCAGAGTGTCAGGGATGCCGGCTGGGAGGGCGAGTGCTTGGTGCAGTATGCGCAGGAGGTTGACAAGCAGAGCCAGATCTTTGTCCGATGCTGGGGCAAGAATCGGCGACAGGGGACTGAAAGAATAAGCTGTGTGGATCGAAGCTTGGCTGAGTGAACTGTATTATGAGGTCTCGCATCGCCGTTCGAACCTTTGTCGGCTCATTTGTGTGCACCTTGCTCTTGAATCAGGCAGGAAACATTACACACTCACATCGTGCAGGCCCAAGCAGCAATGTCCGAGGTCTTGACGACAGAAAGCTATCACGACAGAGATCTGGACAGCCGTGTATCCACACTTCTACGAATAGTTCTGCCGTGGCGAGAGCTTGTGTTCCACATCTCCCCAGCCAAGCCCTACTAAGTCTTACTCAGCAGACGAGTGCCGGGCGGCGCAGTTGCGCCTTATCTCTCTCAGCAGAAACTGTGACACCGGCCGATGGGCCTCACGTCGCAAGATCCGGATTTCGAAGCAAAATGTGTTGCTCCTTACTTTGCCAAATGCCCCATGCAACCGGCAGGCGGGGCCCTGCAGTCAAGGGAAGCAGTTTGTCTTCATTGTTTTCTATCCAGTGAAGCCCCCCCACTGTGAGTCATTGGGGTACCCGTCCGTGTCAGAACTCGCTGGACGGTGTAAGGATGCTCGGCATTCCTGACTGGTGGCAATGTTGCCAGCAACGCAGTGGTTGCGAAGACGGGCAGCCAGTCCTTCGCGATGTTCTCTGCAGTGTGGTTTGCGCAGCTTTGCTACAACATGTATGACAAGGTATGAAAGCACTTGACGGAGCCAGTCTAGTGGATTGCGCAAGCGAGATCTGTATTCGTCTAAGGATTACAGCCTTCAGCTTCTCACCTCTGCAACTCTGAGTGGATCACATCATACTGAGGGCATGCCAAGCTAGTTCCAAGTTGTCGATTCAACTGCGGCATTTATGCCCCCGAGCGGGATCACATGCGGAGGCAAGGCAGGTGACAGCTCAGCTGGACACGGCGCAGTGTTGCCTTAGCGTATCTTGGCGTTTGCTGTCGCGTGCAAAATGGGCGACATCTGTATCGCCACCTCACACACCCTGCAGTGTGCTTACTTTTGCTACACTGTACTCCGATCTTCCCACAGCCAGGGCTCTCGACTTGACTTCCACCTGGTGGCCACGAATCCGGACGCTTCGGCCGTGGCTGCTGCTCCTCGGGGTTCGACGACGCACCACGGCAGCAACGAAGACGCGCCGCTAAAACATCAACGCAGTCAGCTTTGAGGCAGACCCTGGCATAGCTAGGGCGAGTGATGCCGATGCGGCTTGACGGTGCATAGTGTCGCTTACCGTCTCCGCAACATGCAAGCAAAATCTATGCATGCAAGTATGTATGTGTGTATGTATGT